AGAGCCAGCCTCATGCACCATGTCCCACAGTGAACCCCAGCTCCGTCATGAGCCCAGCAGGCTCCAGCCAGGCAGAGGAACAACAATACCTGGACAAGCTGAAGCAACTTTCCAAGTATATTGAGCCCCTGCGCCGGATGATCAACAAGATTGACAAGAATGAAGGTGGGGCCAGAGGCCAGGGCTGGGTACAGGGGCCCCACAGACACTCAGAGCCTGCATCTTAGTGTCCTCTCTCTGTCCCAGACAGGAAAAAGGACCTGAGTAAGATGAAGAGCCTTCTGGACATTCTGACTGACCCCTCTAAGAGGTGAGCTTTGCAGAGGTTTCTGGGGCAGAATAGTGCTATACCACAGCTCATGGAGGGCTCCCAGGGCTTGTGATGACCTGGGTTTAGCAAAGTGGTCCAGCAGGTCTTTGGGCCCTGCCAGAAGCCTCTGAGGCTCCATGAAGGTATGTATTGGGGCTTCAATCCCAGACTTCACCTCCAGCATCCAGCCTTTGCCCTACTCCACAGCCACTGCTGTGGAGCTCATGTTTCTATCCTTTCGCCACCATAGTTTGTCTCCTCAGGTCCTGGTTTACAGTGGCCTCACCACGTCTGCCTGAGGCTGATCTTTAGCTCTGCCCAACTTTTCAGTAATCTTTGGCTAGCAGCTGTGTCTCAGTCACCTTGCAGGGCTAGCAGCAGCCATGTGGCTCATTGTGGAAATGAAGCTATAGGTGATGCCTATGAGAAATATGTGGGTAGCCATGGCTTGCCTTCTTCTCATCCCTTTTCCCTACCTGCTGACCATGGGCTGCTATGAGCACCTGAGCTAGGACAGCACTGCAAAACTGTGCACATTATTTCTCTCCTATCTCACTGCCTCAGCTCAAGCTCTTGCTTGCTTTCTAGAAGTTTCTCTTAATTCTGCTTATCTGTGTTGAATGGTAATCACTGTTCCACAGCCCTCCAGGTCTTCTTGGGTTAATTATTCATTGGGGTTTTAGGGCCAAGGGGGACAGGGACTGGCCTAGATAAGACTGAGGCCTTAGCCTGGTTTGGGAACAGCTGGCTACTAGCTGGGGTTTCTATGGAGGTTTCCAATGACTAAAGCCTAGAGAGGCCAGGCAGGCAATGATTGGGATCAGCACCCAAGAGTCACTGACTCCCCAAGCCTTCTTGCACAGAAACCAGCCTGCATTCTATCTCTCCTCAGGTGTCCCTTGAAGACCCTGCAGAAGTGTGAGATTGCCCTGGAAAAACTCAAGAATGACATGGCGGTGGTGAGTGGAGTCTCAGGCACCTCTAGGGAAGTCAAGGCTTACCTCACAGCATCTCAGAAGATGTATGGGAGGAGCATTCATRGTCAAGGGCAATCAGGGCTTGGGTCTAGGCCTAACCTGGGAACTCTGCCCACAAGGCTTCTTTCAGGCCCAATTGCTGTGGAGAGTGGGAACACAAAGTCACCTTCTGACCTTGGTCCCATGGGTGCATCTGCCGGCCCAGCACAAGGTGCTGCCCTTAGAAAATAAAGCCTGAGCAGGGCTGCCAGGGTGGGGGACTGTAACCAGTTATTGGCCACCATTGGCTACACAGGGGTGGAGGTTATGGGTGAATCCTCAGGATTCTGTGATGGGTGAGGATGATGGCCTTGGGGTCTGGAAGTCCTCTTCACAATGGGTGAGGCCTCAAGCTCAAGTTGCTGACTCTGTCTTATCCCTAGCCCACGCCCCCACCACCCCCAGTGCTACCAACAAAGCAGCAGGATCTATGCCAACCACTCCTGGATGCTGTCCTGGCCAACATCCGCTCTCCAGTTTTCAACCATTCCCTGTACCGCACATTCGTTCCAGCCATGACAGCTATCCATGGCCCACCTATTACGTATGTACAACCAGGGCTGGGCCTTGTGGTGGGTTGCAGGCCAAAGGCTGCATGTAACCAGCGTGGTCACCATGGCCACCTCCTCCAGGGCCCCAGTGGTGTGTACGCGGAAGCGCAGGTTTGAGGAGGATGATCGGCAGAGCATCCCCAACGTCCTCCAAGGGGAGGTGGCCAGATTAGATCCCAAGTTCCTGGTGAACTTGGACCCTTCTCACTGCAGTAACAACGGCACCGTCCACCTGATATGCAAGCTTGGTGAGTGTCCAGGTAGGATAGGGGTGACTTGGGAGAGTGAATCCTAACCTGGAAGCCCCAGGACTCTACTGCCTACACCAGAGACCATGAAATGCTCAGCCTTCAAGACACAAGTACTTCCCTCCTCTGAGCCTGCCCCTGCACTCATCCTACCAAGCTGCCCACTCTGTCCTCACTCCTCCTCCTTCCTGGTGGCCTAGCCTCAACCTCCCAGGCCTGAGCCCATGTACTCTCACCTCTTCCCCATACACAGTGGCTCTGCTTGCTAGAAACACTGGATTTACTGTGAGCAGGGTCCGTTCAGGAGCAGGGCTTTGAGGCCAGTGTTTGTGTCAGGTCCAGGCTTGGGCCAGGTCACAGGCAGCCTTGTGTGTTGCAGACGACAAGGACCTCCCAAGTGTGCCACCACTGGAGCTCAGTGTGCCTGCTGACTACCCTGCCCAGAGCCCACTGTGGATTGACCGGCAGTGGCAATATGGTGGGTGAACCAAGAGGAAACATTTGGGAACCCAGGAAAGGCAAGGGTCAGTTCTGGACAAACAGGGTTTCCTATGTAGCAGGATTACCTGTGTATCCTTCCTGTTTCCCCTTGCACAGGGAGGAACAGTGGTCACCTGGAGGAAGAAGAGACTCTCTACCTCCTCCCCCATTGTGTTCTTTGCCCCTATCTTACAGCTCCAGGGCAGCTATGTTTAGTCAGGGAGGGGTAAACAAGCCTACTGCTCAAGGATAGACCCAGTTGATCCTGGTGGCCCCTAGAGCTCAGCAGGGCTTACATGGGCCCACCACCAGGAGCTTGGGTGCATGTGGATCTGTATGGGTGAAGTGACTCCAGAGCGACTATGTTGGGTATAGGCAATCCCCTTAGGGTGTCATAGAGGGAAAACCTATGGGTCCAGATCCCGTTGAGATTCCAGTTTTTCACTGACATTGTTGCTCTGGGAGGAGAGCCCTACTTCCAGATGAGCACAGGAGACTGATTAGGGGTTGGGGGGCTTCCCAGAGAGGTGTCCATATGGGCCAGGTTCAGACATGTCTGACTGCTTTGAGAGGGTTTGGTGTTCATGGCCTGCTGCTCTGTTGCAGATGCCAACCCCTTTCTGCAGTCAGTGCACCGGTGCATGACCTCCCGGCTGCTGCAGCTTCCTGACAAGCATTCAGTCACAGCCTTGCTCAACACCTGGGCACAGAGCATCCACCAGGCCTGCCTTTCAGCCTCCTAGCCAAGAACTGCGGGGACAGCCAGAAGCCTTGATGGGGCTGTGGACTCATGCCTCATATTGGATGTTTCTAGGTGTTGACTTCCTTAAAAAGCCTGGGATAGGTTAGCTTTCCTGCTTTTCTCTTCTGCCTTGGGACCTGCCAGACATTTCCCCATACTTGTACAGTACTGGGCCAGTTGGCTGTGGAGCTGTCTGCATGGGGGACACTTTCTAGAGAAGATTCTCCTCACACTTTCCTCCAGGGAATCAGATCCCACACTCCTTGGACTGCACTTCCTGTGATCTCTCCAGGCTCCGTGTCCACTCTGAGCAGCATGAGGGAGAACTCAGGGTCTTGTCCATGCATCTGGTTAGAATACATTTTACTCATTTCTATAGGAGAATGTGGAAGACATAGGAAAACCTTAAAGTACAATCTCTGATCGGTTTGGATTCAGGCTGTGTCACTTGTGGCAGTTGGGTCATAACGCAGGGACACTCCTGGATTAAGGGCACAGGCTCCATTTTTGAGAGAAGTTTATCCTGTGGGCAGCAGTGAGTCCCCTACCACCAGCTAGGTGGGTTCTGCTCACACTTCTTGAAGCTCTTATTCAGCACTGTGAGGGAGCAGTGGCATCTGAGGAGCCTGTCCCTGGTACCCGTGTGCTGCTCTTGGGTGAAGGATGCCATGTCCCTGCTGTGAGGGATGAAAAGGGACCATTTGGGCATTGTCCTGAGGACCTGGCATCATCAGAGTACCCTATTCTCTGTGCTGCCCCCAGAGTGGAGGCTCCTTGTGGGATGCAGCTGTACATTGCCTCCGTGTGTTGCCTTTCACACTGAGCACCAGCTGGCAGCCCTCTGGTGATAATAATTTCCCCTTTTTATATGTGCACTACCCTGTCATATGTGGTTCTTATAATAAATTTATCATTCCCGTGTTTCTCATGAGTTAATCACTGCATCCCCTTCTCTGTGAAGCTGGGGCCCACTGTTCTGTTAGGGATGCTGTCAGTCTTGCAGGTGGACAGTGTCCAGTCTAGCCCAGGATGCTCTAGATCTTAGCTCCTGATACAGTACACTATTCCTCAGTCTGGTTCATGCCCAGATTCCTTGTCAAGGTCTTTCTGAGATTAATGGGCAGGAAATGGAGCACGGTGGCAGACAGCCTGTAAGATGGCACTAGGCCCTGAACTGACCGCCACAAGGTGATATGTGCAGCTGCTATTCTGACGAGGGGAGGTATGGCATTCTGGAGGAGAAAAATCTCCCGTGACGTGGCCCATCCAAGACAGCTCAGCTGGACCAATCAGCAGTGTTGGTGTAGCAAATGACAGCATCTTGCCCCTAGCAGTGTCCAGTCTGGACAGGAGACCCAGAATAATCATCGCTTGGAAAGGCAGCCCCTGGCCAAGACAAGGAGAGGAAAACCATCTGGCCTCCAGGGAGATGCTTCTCTTCTGGGAGAGTTGCCAACTCATGGGATGAGCAAGCCCTGGCTGCCCAGGCAGGTCCCTTCCAAACTAGCAGAGAGTTACTTCAAATGGCCAGGAGAAGACAACTGATAGCCAGTGAGGAAGGAGACTTAGGACTTGGAGAAACAAGTTTTATTTTCAGTCTTCAACAGGTAGCATAATATTTATTTCATAATATGGTTTTGTTTTAATGCAGAATAGCAAAATAATAGCTAGAAAATAAACAGTTTCTCAATTCTGAGATCAAGTACTTTATCTGTCATGGGTTTCCCCAGTCTTGGAATTCATCGTGGCTTAAAAGTAGTAGAAAGCATATGAACTGCTGCAGAGAGAGCTAGCCTCCAGCTGTGGGCACTGGGCTCAGAGAACTGAGCGGTGCAGGCGCCGGCTTTGCACCACCTGCAGCCTTTTCTGCCGCTCCGCAAAATTACTCTTAAGGCTCTGTTTAAGCGCGGGCAGGATACCACGCTCTGCCGCAGGCATTGGGCTCAGAATCAAGCTGGGAATGGGGAAAGGGGCAGTCACTGTAAGCATCTTCAAGCCCTTTGGGCCCCTGGGGTAGAAGCTGGACTGAGAGCTGGCAGCCCTGCCTGAGACCCAGCCCTCTTCCCTGTGGCCATCAGACTGTTACCCACTCTCCTGTGCCAGGAAACTCACCATTTCTTTGAGAGGCCCTTGGTCGAGACCTTGGGGAACTGAGTGGCCTCCTGGTCCCTGGGGAAGGAAGTCAGCAGTGAGCCCCACACTAGGCCCCACTGGGCTGGGGCAGTGGCACAGGGGCACTCACTTTATAGAGCTAGGCCCAGCCTCCTCAGGGGCAGCTTTTGGCCTTTGGTTCCCTTCCAGAAGGGACTTGAGATGCTGCAGCTGAAAGAGAAGAGAGGCATGGTGGGGTACAAGGTAGGGCCCGTAGAGGTGCCAGGCCATGCCCTGCCCAGGCCTCACCTCTTGTGCCTGTAGAAGGTTGGCATTCCACAGCTGCCGGATGACTACCTCGCACTGCTGTACTGTAGTGGGCTTGCGCAGGTGTGGAGGCAGGCTCATCAAGGGAGCTGCTCCTGTCACCTGCCTGCCCTTGTGCTGGGTGACCCCCACAAAGGTGGCCCCTGAATTAGAGTTCTCCGCATCCTCGTCTCTGAAATGTCATAACAGCAGCCCAGAGGTAGCCTAAGGAATTGATCTTGCCACCCTTCCCACAGCAGTGTCCATGCCAGTGTGGGCCCATGAGGGGAAAGGGCCATCTACATATCTTATGCTGGGCCTGGCTCCCTTCTGCTGACCAAGGTTCTTTGGGAACCAGGTGGGGTTCTTTGGAACCAGCTACCTGGACCTGTCCCTTCCCCTTCAAGGTACACTGAGGATCAGGTGTTCCGGGAAGTGGGGACCAGCTAACTGGGTCCTAACCTCATGCCCAGCAGGTCTTCTCGCTGCAGGCTGGTCTCTAGGGAATGTTAGGTCTGTTCAGAGAAGTGGGATCTTGTCCAACTAGCTACACTATTCCAGATCATGTACTCTAGCATTCCAGGGAGGTCCAAGAAACAGTGGTCACCGGATCTTAGTTCTGCTGTGCCTTGCTGGCCCAGTGCTTTCCAAAGGCAGGCACCCAACTCCAAGATAATCAGTCAGGCCCACTCACTGTGCTCTGTGGTGTGGATTTGTTTTTTGGGGTTTTTTTGTGTGTTTTTGGGTTTTTTTGTTTGTTTTGTTTTTTGATACCTGAAATTAAATTCCAGGATTCTTAACCACTAAGCCACATCCCCCAACCCTTTTTAATTTTTACTTTGAGACAGGGCCTAAGTTGCTGAGGCTGCCTTGAATTTACAATCCTCCTGCCTCACTTTCCTTGGTCACTGGAATTACAGGTGTACACCACACCAGGCTTACTCACTGTGTTCTTGGTAAAAAACTAATTTGGAAATCAGATCATTTTTTTGTTTCTTTTCTCTGAGAAAGGTTTAGGAGCTGCAATTGGTCCTCTTGTGGGCCCTTGTCAGCACAGGGACCCTCCAGGAACCCCAGGGAAGAGGAAGAAGGCAGCACCCAACAGACAGCCTGGTAGCTGACTTCATGAGCCCATGGAGAAGTTGGTGAAGAAATCTGCTGTTCCCAGGGTGGGAACCTACTAAGTGCAAGCCTAGGGCCTTTGGGTTGCAGGCCTGTGCCTTGATGCAGGTGATCCTTACTTGGCCTGCCCCTGCACCCCAGGGACTCTGTCCAGCTTGCTGCTGTGAAACAGGGAAGCACTGAATGGCTCCTCTTCCAGGTCCATCTTCTGGGGGGCATCAGCTTTCGACTCTTGCCTCTTGGAGCTGGGCTGGGGCCTTGCCTTGCTTTGAGAGTTGGCTGCAGGTCAGACCCGACAGGGCCAGTCACTGCCCAAGTCCTCTGGGATCAGCAGCTTGCACCCAAGAAGCCCCTGCCCCTGCCCCGGTTTCCTCTGTAAATGGGAAATGGAAAGAGTCTCCCTTGGAAGGTCTGATAGGAGGAATAAATTGGGGTTCTGAGGGTAAAGTCTGTGAGTCGTGCCTGCTGAACATGCCAGAATAATCAGGTGGAAGCTGGCTTCCATTTGGAGTGAAATAGAACTGGGGAAGAGCACTGGAACTCTGCATGGGTTTATTCTCTAGGCCCAAGCCCAGGCCCATTGCCCACTGGTAAGGAAGCTTGGCCTCTTGTGGCAGTCAGAATGGGAGAAGAAGCTCTCTGCTCCCCTCATTCTTCAAAAGATGTTATAAGGCAAGGGCTCTGTGGGCATCCCACCTGCATCTTGCCTATCTTGGCATAACAGGTCAACAGGCCTTCTGCTGGACAGTCTGTGCACATCCTCCCAGGGAGACCACTGGGGGCCTTGGCAGACACTTAGGAGTCCCCTCTATCAGTGAGTCCAACTGATCACACTCCTGCCCAGGTGGAGCTGCCATGGTATCTTGCTGCCCTGCAACAATATCCCAACCCTGTCCTGTTTGGTAGCCTTCCTTCAAGGCCTCCCTCTGGGCCACGGTCTTATCCCACTCTCCTCAGTCTCCTGTGACTTCAGCTCTCAGAGTACCAGGGACTGCCCTTCTTGACTCCCTTTAACTAACCCTTCTCCCCTGAATCCATGGGGTCTTCCCAAAGTCTGCCCAACATAAGACCACTATGGGCTTACAGCTCCCTGGTCAGCACCCAAACTGGCCACCCCAGCCTTGGGCCCAGTAGGGCCCTTGCTCAGAGTACATAGGGGGTCCTGGCCCACTCACCTGACACTGTTGAATTKGAGACGGACTTGTTGGACTGAAAGCTTGATGTGGACATGCTGCCTGTAAGAGAGAACATGCAAGGTTCAACCCAACATGAGAGTAGCTACTACCCAAGAGCCCACGTGTCCCAACCTCCTGGCCTTCGCAGGCCTCAGTCCTACATGTTTGTGGGGACTCCTCCCCAAACCTGGTGGGGATGTGTCCTGCCTGTTCTACCCAACACTCCCTTGAGGCAGCCCCATACCCAGCCAAGTTCCCAGAGGGAACAGAGGCCACTGGAAAAGTTGTCTCCTGAGAGGTATTCATAAAGCAAGGAAGTTGTGACTTAAAGAATATCAAGTCCTGAGTGAGAGCATAACCTCTCCTGGTGTCTCATCAGGGCCTCCAGTCCTGCAGGGCTAGCTAACTTGGGCTACACTTTGCCCAGAACAGCTTGCTAGGGCTGCTCCAGAGGGTTATCTGCAGATAACCAGAGGGTTGTTCCTCCATTCTATTTTCTGCGTGTCTTTAGGAAGGGAGAGCCCTGGGCACCACCTGAGATAGGATGTTCCCAAATAGCACCATTTGCCAGTCAGACCACCTGATGTTCTAAAGGTAAGGAGAAGAATAAACCCAAGAACTCAATAGGGGTTCCCCTGGGCTGGGCTAGGGAATAGGCAAGGAGAATGGGCCATAACAGGGACAAGAAAGTGTCTTGGACAAGTGCTGCAGGCTGAGTCTCTGCTTCTTTCCCCACTCATTCCCAAGGTGTCTACAGAGATGATGGCAGGAAAGATTTCTCATAGGGAGTATACCCAGAGTCACCTCTTCCAAGGTTTAAGGGACCAGAGACAGGGCTGAGAAGCCAGAGGGTAGTGAAGCCCTAGAGGAAAGGAGCTGTTCCAGGGCCCCCACCTGATTCAGGAGCTCTGCTCAGATGAGGAAGGGGCTGCAGCCCCATATGCTCAGATCTCAGGCCTTGAGACTGAGCGAGCACCTGCTGCACTGCATAAAGTTACCCAGCTGTGGGGGAAGTGGCATCTATTTAGTTCCCCTAGAACCAGTTCCCACTGAGTTAGCATGCCAGATGGACATGAGCAATCTGGGGATGGGGGCTGCAGTAGACACAGGTAACTTCCTATCAGGCACTAAGGGGCCTCAGCCTTACCTTTCTTCTGTGGCTTCTGATTCATTATTAGCTTGTAGTGGAGATCTGGAAGCAAGCACATGTTCTCCTTGTCATTTTCAAAGCCATAGCTTCTCTGAAAGAAGAAGCTTGGCTTGGCCTGCCCTTGCCTACTCCCTCCTAGTCCCCAAGAGTCCTGGCTTGTGATCATGGCTGACTGGCTCTTGCTTGTAGTTCCTGCCAGTCTTTTCTACCAAGTCTTTGCCCTAGGCCAGAAATGCCTCTGGCTGTTCCCTGTCATATCCCACCATGTCCCTGATGTCTGCAGGGCACACTGCCAGCCAAGGCCTTGGCTCCAGGGGTAGAGAAGTGAATCATGATAACCCAGCCCTCCAGGAGGCCCTGGACATGAATGTGCAAATGTGAGCAAGACAATAATCAAGTGATGCCCAGATATGGGGCTGGCCAGGTCAGGTGTCAGGAACCAGACTCAAGAAGACATGTGGAAAGGTGCCCTAACATGACAGATGCCATTACTGAGTCCTTGTCAATCCAGATAAAGACAACACTAGAAGCAGGCCAGAGAAACTGAAGCAAGCAGGACCAGGTGATGGGCAGAGCCGCTCTAACTAGTGAGGCCAGAGTCCCAACAGGCTTCAGGTTCTGTGTCAAGTATGGCTTCGCTGGTGAGGAGACCCCAAGGATGCAGTTAGAAAGACCCTGCCTGGGGATAACATGGACACTYGTGGAGAGGTCCAGACAGTGTCTGCCCTTGATACTTGGTTATAATTCACTGAGCTGTACACTCTCACTTGAGTATRTTCAACTTGTTTAAAAACTTTTTTGAAAATGAGATTGGCCTGACCCTGTCCATGAGTGAGGGAATACTGCTCTGTGCCCTCCCTGTATCCCAAAAGTGATCTGGAACTTATGGTGCTGTGCTTCTGGCTGCAGGCCCGGGAAGGGTTTAGGGCACCAGGGGAGTGTGTTTCTCGCGTCCCAGCTTCAAGACTCACCCTTATTCTCCCGCTTCAAGTGCTCGATCTCCTCATGAAGCTTGACCAGCGTCTCCGAATGCTGCTGCTGCAGGAACTGCAGGCTCTTCTCCAGGTCCAGGACCCGCTTCTGTGCCTCGCTGAGCCCGAGCTGTGTGGGATGAGGTACCTGGTACTGGAGGCCTGCGAGCGGTCGCTGGCGTGGGCGCGATGTGGCCCGGGAGCCCGGGGTAGTCGAGCTGAGGGGCCGCGCCCCAGCCGCCACCCCCACCCCGCTCATGTCTTCACTGCCACTGCCTCCGCCTTCAGCTTAGTGGCCAGGTTGACCGGGCCTGGCGCTGCGTAGCCATGGGAACAGGCACGCCTGAGGGGAGGGAGGAGGGGCGGGGCCTACAGCCACGTTCTGTCTAGATGAGTACATTTGACTTAAAAAAAGTATCCTCTGACTTGAACGTTGGAATCATCTGCATTTACAGTAGGTCTTAATGCTTCATTTTTAATAGCAGTTTACTTTTTGAGCAGGAGATACAATTATAGGTTCAAAATTAACTTCCAATTACTTCCAATAATCACAGAATCTATTCATAATGAAATGTGGATAAAATAGGAAAAACAGTTGTCTGAAGGCATCAGAGAGGGGCAAAAATTAGGAAGGGAGTGAGTACTTAAAAGGAGAGCTGCTTTTGCTGTGGGGGCTGTCTAGTCATTTAGACATCAAATAGGACACCACAGGTTTATTGACTTAAAGCAGAGGATGGAGGTTCTATAGGCCATGGCATCTGAAAATTGAAGAAATTGAAAGAAAAATCTGTTGTTGTCTCTGAACTGTATGCACATACCTAGACCTGACTCCAAGAAGGCCAGGAGAAAGACAAATCAGGCCCATGCTCCCTGGCTGGTCTCAGTTTTCCTGGGACCTGCTGCTGTCTTGAGGGGAAGCAACTGTTTGGAGTTGACCACAGATGTGTAGTGAAAGGAAGACCCAGACTAGACAGTGGAAGAAACTGGCTGACTCATCTTCACCTTGACCCACAGCTCATCTAGTCTGGACTGGATATTTAAAACCCTTATGACAGGCTGGGGTTGTGAGTCAGTGGTAGAGTGCTTGCCTCATCTGTTGAGGCACTGGGTTCAATCCTCAGCACCACATATAAATAAATAAATAAATAGAATAAAAATTCATCAACAACTTAAAAAAACAAACAAGCAAACCCTTTAAAAACATCACCACATTGTTGGGAGAGAGACAAGGAGGAGGAGGTACCATTGCACTAGGCCAGATTGTATGGATGCAGAGATATCAGTAAACCTGGGTTATAAGGTTGAAGACTACAGGAAAGARCATATTTTCTTCTTGCTACAAAAGTTGAGTTGTAATAGAAGTTTGCATGGGCCAGCTTGGTGCAGTGGCACAGGCCTGTAATCCCTGAGGCTTGGGAGGCTGAAGTAGGAGGATGCCAAGTTCAAAGCCAGCCTCAGCATCTTAGTAAGGCCCTAAACAACTTAGCAAGAATCCCTGTCTCTAAAATATAAAAATGGGCTGGGAATGTAGCTCAGTGTTTAAGTACCCCTGGGTTCTATCCTTGGTACAAAAAAAAAAAAAGGAGGAGGAGGAAGAGGAATAAAGAAGAAGAAAAAGAAGTAGCAGTGGTAGTAGTAGTAGTAGTTGTAGTTGAAGTTTGAACAGGCCAATGAGTGTCATTGAGGCATTCTATGGACACTGCCATAAACAGCTGGTGGACCTACAACTGTTTCCTGCAAAGAAGTGGCACTGGAAAGCATGGACAGCAGCTTTCTACTTCTTTCAGAATGTTCCCATCAGTGAGCACTAGAGGATCCTCTTTGCAAGACTGGTGCTTAACCTGACAGAACTGGCCACCCTTCGGGCTGACCTTGGGAAATTGAAGATTCTGTACTCACATGAGAATTGGCATAAACCTGTCAAGAAATATTAGAAGAGGGATTTTCAATATGGTTACAACCAAATTCTTTCATGCCTGGTGGCTAATGTGGTGGTATTCAACCCTGTTTTTGGTATGGASTCATTTCTCCATATTTATGAAAAATATGGAAAATTGTGAAGCTGATTCCTGATCAGAGACCCAAAGATCTGAAAAGCATCATCAAACCCAAGTGCCAAGTTATTTACTTTCCCATAGATTTTCTGATGTGAGCAAAAGTCATTGTCAAGCATATTTTTCAACTTTTGTATCCAGCTTTCATCCACTGGTTTATTTTTAACTTTATTTTTGTTTATTTAGTTATTTTAAATGTGGGGCTGAGGATTTAACCCAGTGCTCCACATGTGCCAGGCAAGTGCTCGATCTCCTCATAGAGCTTGACCAGCGTCTCCGAATGCTGCTGGTTTATATGCATTTTCTTTTTCTTTTATTTTTTCCTTTTTTTTTTTTTTTTTTTTGGTACTGAGGATTGAACTCAGGGGCACTCACTCAACCACTGAGCCACATCCCCAGCCCTACTTTGTATTTTATTTAGAGACAGGGCCTCACTGAGTTGCTTAGCGCCTCGCTTTTGCTTAGGCTGGTTTTGAACTTGCAATCCTCCTGTCTCAGCCTCTCGAGGTGCTGGAATTACAGGCATGTGCCACCATGCCAAGCTCTTCTTCATTATTTATTTATTTATTTATTTATTTATTTATTAGATGTAGATGGACACAACACAATGCCTTTATTTTTATGTGGTGCTGAGGATCGAACCCGGGTCCTGCTCATGCTAGGCGAGCGCTCTACCACTGAGCCACAATCCTAGCCCCATCTTCTTCATTTTTATTAATTATATTATCTTAAAGAGTTAAGGCTTTAAAAAAAAAAACAAAAACAAAAATAAAAAAACCTTCCAATCTGTAACTCTATGCTGTGGCCAAAAATCCTTTTCTCCCTTTTCTTTCACTTCTTTGTTCTGACCTCTTAAGGCAGCACAGAGACTGGCATGGACATTAAAGTCAAAACCTATTTTTATAGCTGGAATACAATTAGATTAAGTAGAAATTCCAAAGAGGGAATTTCTCTCGGACTCTGACTTTACTGTGTAAAGAAGGAAAGAACAAAAGAGAATGGGGAGGGCAGGGGCTATAGCTCAGAGGCAGATTGCTTGCCTTGCATGTGTGAAGTACTGGGTTCGATTCTCAGCACCACATAAAAATAAAATAAAAAAATAAAGGCATGCTGTCATCTACAACAATAAATTTTTTTTAAAGAGAGAGTGAGAGAGGAGAGAGAGAGAGAATTTTTAATATTTATTTTTAAGTTCTCGGCAGACACAACATCTTTGTTTGTATGTGGTGCTGAGGATCGAACCGGGCCGCATGCATGCCAGGCGAGCGCGCTACCGCTTGAGCCACATCCCCAGCCCAACAATAAATTTTTTTAAAAGAAAAGGATGACGAGGTAATGGAAAGGGATGTCTGGGAGCTGGGGTTGTGGCTCAGTGGTAGAACGCTTACTAGCTAGCATTCACGAGGCACTGGGTTTCGATCCTTAGCACTACATAAATGTAAAATAAAGATATTGTATCCACCTAAAACTAAAAAATATTTTTTTAAAAAAAGGAATACCTGTTTCTTAGAGGACATTTGCAAACTAAAGCTGAAGAGGCATCAGACAGAGTGGCCTGGTGTTTTATTTCTTCCATCCCCTACTAAAGGATTTTATAGCATGTTCACCTGAGAGGGTAGGTGGAGGGGATGATATGAGGACTTCACAGTACACCTTAGCTGAGTTTTACTTCAGATCTATCCTGTATAATTACAAAGGTCCTACTCTGCTGGGAAATACTTGTTTATGACTGTGCTCCGAATAGCTTTAAGTTTCAAGTCAAGTGCAGCCAGCAATTCTTTTCACCCTGCTACATTTGGATGTTTTCTTCCTCAAAGGTTCATGTGTTGGGGACTTGATCTTCAGTATGGTGATGAGAGGTGATGAACCTCGAAGAGGTGGGGCCTATTAGAAAGTCCTTAGATCATTGTGAGTGAATTCTCAAGAGTGAATTGTGATAAGCCTGACTCTCTCAGGTTTCATCTTTTGAGATTTGATCTCTCACTCCCACACATGCTTCCACCATCAACCACTGTGCTTTTGCCAGAACCTATATCACATTATTTGAACTTTCAAGCATTCAAAATTGTGAGCTAAGTCTGGGGTTGCGGTTCAGCAGTAGAGCGCTTGCCTAGCACGTGCAAGGGCCTGGGTTAGATTCTCAGTGCAGCATAAAAATAAATAAATAGATAGATATTGTGTCCAACTACAACTAAAAAATAAATATTAAAAAAACCCACAAAGTTGTGAGTTAAATAAACCTTTTCTTAAAAATAAAAATTCTGGTTTTCAGAGTTAAAGGAAGCAAGCTAAAAGTGTTAAGCAAAGGCTACATGTCATCTCTAGTGGAGTGGGCTGGGGGTTAGGCTCAGTGATAGTTCTGGCCCATGCACAAAGGCTAGGAGTTTGATCCCCAGCACTGACCAAAACAACAAAAAATTCACCTCATCAGTATTGAAAAGGTGTTATTAATGTGGGCTGCTCATTCAGCAGGGCTCTGACCATGGAAAGGGGGACCTTAACACTCAAGTGACGGCTCATGGTGAAATATTGACCTAGGGCTGGTCAGTGCAGCTGTCTTAGCTGTTTCCATGACTTGGAGCTTTTAGAAACCACAGATGGTCAGATTTTGATATTAAGACCAGTTTTGATGTGTGGAGAAATAGAGGGCAAAATCCACACAGCTCAGCCCAGTTCAGAGCATGCCTGCCTTGGAGCCCCATCCTTCCCACCAGACATTTCAGTGTTAACATCCACCTTGGTTTTGTTGTGCACATGAACATACCGTGCCCTGGGAAAGAAATACAATGAGCAAATGGACAGGCTTGTGGCCACTGGAGAAAAGGGATATCAGGGTGCTATAGCTGTTCTATAGATCCCAATTGCCCTGAGACCCTGTTTGGGTAAACCTGGAGAATGAGCCAAGGCACTCGAAGCAAGGACCTGTTTATTCAGATCTATGGTCAGTTACAAGTTTTGCTTTGATTTTTTTTTTGGTCGTGGGTCCCAAAACACATTTGATTTACAGCAAAATACAAAGCCCAATATTTACAACTTGAAATGTTTTTCAAAAAACCACATACTCCAAAAACAAAGGCTTGGTTTGTCACCACCGAGATGCTATTGTTGCTGGTGTATGTATACTATGTATCTGCAGTATGAAAGAAAGTGAGACCCCTGGTGATTTCTCATTGATAGTGAATGTATAATTGTCCTATACTATGAATATGTCAGTGTTATCAAAGGTTATTGTGTTTTGAGCACTTAGTTTATTGAAGATACAAACAATGCTTTTGGCTCTTTGGTTGCAGAGAGAAACTAGCAGGATTCTCCCACTAAAGACCAGTT